TGGAATATAATAATAATTAATCCGAAAAGTGGGATCATTATAAACGAAGCCCTTCGAAGTGTGTACCGATGCTTCAGTGTCATATAACTTTTTCAAATTTATAAATGCTACTCTTGGATTCAATTTTTCAGTAACACTAACACTTTAATATTTTTTCTTTCAGACGTCTGTAGCGGATCTCAAAGTGCTATATTCGAACTTAGTAATTTCTGGATTACATGTCACCAGATTACGGGTGACAATAGCAATAAATCCACTATCACAGGGGCATTTTAACGAAAAGGATAACATGGGCCACTTCTACTATTATGGTTTGAAGTTGAAACTCCACGAATTAATTTATTTAGAGGTAATTTTATGTTTCTTATATACATTAAACCGATATAGCAAAAAATTTAATTACCTTTACTATTTTTATTATGGTGTTATCCCTACTATTCGAGTAATAACCAATATGTTTTGCAATATGTTTGTGATATAGGAAATTCTTCGATTTCTACAATCACATGTTTACAGATTTTGCCCTTGAAACCACAGTACTATCCAAGGTGCAAATTTTTCCTTTCACACTATTCTCAACGAAAAGTTAATAATTGATTAAAAGAGTGGGAGAACAAAGGACAAAAACTAGTGACAACACGTTAATGATTTAAAAAGGGTTTAGTTCAAGAAACAGCATAAGAGCAGCTGCGACTATAATACGGAGTACTCAAATCATAAAGTAACAAAATTACCAGTCTTATAATAATAGGATGAACGATTTAATGAGGATTGTTGAAGAAGCTGTTTTGAAAATTTTTTTTTTTAGAGGTTGAATTAAATGAAAAGCATATTGTGATGTTTGTGCTTGAGATTTAGAAATAATAACTTTAAAAGGTGATTTATTATTTATTTATTTATTAATGAGTTTCGTTTACGTGCATATGAAGTAACTTATTTAATCATACATTTACACCAATATATGTCTAGACTTTCTTTTTTCACTTTATAAGTGTTGTGAGTGGATAAGAAAGTATTTTATCAAAAGAATTTATTTTACTATTGTACATTTGACATTATGCAGAAAATTCTTGTATTAATTTTTAAAATGGTATTGTAGATGTAAAAGTTGATGAGGCATGATTACAGCACATCAAAAAAAATTATGCAGTTATAACTAAAGCGCCCTCGTAGTAGCTGACATTGCCATAACTAAGTTTTTTTTTGATCGCAAATAACTTTCTTAAATCTATTTCTGGTCAACCTTATCTGTCGAGAAATTATTTATAGCTGTTTTCAAAAAGGTGTGAACGGTCGCAGACCATCATGCCATGGGGAGTTTCAAGACCTGAAGTTTAATTTTTACTAATCTAAATTTCCAAATTCTTCAATTTCCCACATAGGTATATGGAATTCGTTGTTCACACACTTTTGAAAACAGCTGTAACGTTAAGGAAAAGTGCCACAGTGAGAATTGACCTTTATCTCGAAATCATGAGCAAATTCTCGAAATCCGAGAATTTACGGATTTAAAAGAACTGACACGTGTGCTTACTTACAAAATAATTTTCGAGAAAATTTGCATGATGATCCAGAAACATGAAGAAATTAATCTGATTATCGGTTTGCAAAATGTGTCAAAATCTTGCACTTGATTATCGGATTGTAAAGTGAATTTCTTAATAAAAATTCAATACAAATAAAATAAATAAAATAATTTATGATTTTCTTGTATCATATCCTCAATATTTCAAACAATCAGGTGATTGTATGAGTTATTGCGATCTGCAAAATTTGATCAAAGATATATATATCATTTTGATAAAATAAGTATTTGTCATTTTATGGGTTTATTGAGTTTTTGTATCTATAAAATATGAATATCATATGACGTAGAATAGTGTCCTCCACACCGAACAATACTATAATAATGATGATTTTCTTTTCATGGCTGTTTTTACATCGTGGGAACAATTTTTATCTACCATAGTTAGAAAGTTAACCTTTTTAGGTACTGTACAGTACACACAATAGATCACTGATTTTTGTGGAAAGTTCTAGCGCTGGTAAATTAAATAATGATAATATAAATAATAGTACTACGCCAGGCTTGAGAAATTAAGATAAATATATGTTTTTGCGGACCAAAACTTTTTTCAAAAATCAAGGTTAAAGCGAACTATAAAATTAACAAACCAATTCTTCAAACAAACCCACTTGAATAGCTTTAAACAATTATACCCTGGTCACTATATCAAGATCGCAGGGCATAAATCAGTTATGTCCTGGGCACTATGTGATAAGCGGGACTTTCAGCCCCGCTTATACCCAACTGCCCAGGAAATAACTATTACAAATCACAACAACCTTTTTAAACAGAACAATAATGTCTTTATACTGGCCTGATTATACACTTGGACAATTTGAAAATTCGATGTCTCGCCTATTTGATGACTTTTTCAAAGACCTCAATATTGAAAGACAATCTAATAATTTTGTTACACGAAGCAGTAGGGTTCCTCTTGATATTCATGAAGGTGAAAAGGAATTTACTGTGTGTGCCGAGTTACCAGTATGTAACCTATTTTTATTCTAGTTTATATATAGTTATTTAATTAATTCGATCTATATAAATAGGGTGTCACCAAAGAACAAGTCAATCTCAACATTCGTGAAAATATGCTAGTAATTTCTGGTGAGACTAAAAAAGATGAAGAACATAAAGAAGGAAATACACATATTCAAGAACGTCGTTATGGAAGTTTCTCTCGCGCTATTGCTCTTCCTCGTAGTGCTAAAACTAGTGATATCACTGCTAAATTTGAACACGGTATTCTTGAAGTCAAAATTCCAAAGGATGAAAATAATGAATCTAGAAAGAAAATTGATATACAATAATTAATTATAATTAGCTAAACTATATTTTCTTTGCTACATATAACTTTTACTTATGTATTTTTATTTCTGAGAATTGTAATTAATAACTAATAATTATACTTGAATAAATAAAAGTGTTTTGATTTGCTGATTTTAAAGTATTGATTCATTGAAAGTTTGCATTTTGTTATTTTTATCAAGTTTTAGAACTTAGCTGAATCCAAAAATTTTTACTAATATCTGCAAAAGCGCATATCCAAACCATGACAATTATAAGAACATTTCAAAACTTTAGCCCAAAAAATAATAATTGATTATTATATAATAAGTTTATGATGTTGATAGCGATGCTGGAATTATTGCATCTAATTGCTTATTTGAACTTATCTCTTTAATATTTTTTTTATTGTTATTAGAAATAATTGTATATCTTAATTGAACTTATCTCTTTAATATTTTTTTTTATTGTTATTAGAAATAATTGTATATGATTATTTTTTAAATAGAAAGGCATCATTATTTAAGAAATTGCCGATACCGAATTTCTCAATTTCTAATTAAAGTATATAAGTTGCACATGGGAATAAAATCATAATAGATACGGAATCCACTTAGATTAGGACGGAATAATTCTACTAAAAATCCAACCCTAACCATAAAAATTCTGAATCAACTTAAATTCTGCTCTCACCTATGACTAGTGACTTGAATCGGTTGGGCTATAATCGGTTATTGCAATTTATGCAAAAAGATGTGATAATTACGGTGTTATACTTTATACGTCTTTCTGGATAACTGGCATCGGATTCAAACCAATGATATACGTAGATATAGAAAAGACTAATTAAACTTTCGATATACATAGATATAGAAAAGACTAATTAAATTTTCGATATAAAAAAGTTAACTGTTAAACCAAAACCAGTCCACAATAAATCAATTCGAGAGATATTAAATTCTCAATATAACAAAGTTTATAGAATTTTTATTATGAGCCCAATTATCTTTCTTATATTGAGATTTATTTGTATATTATTCATCAATTTGCCAACTTTCATTAGTTTCTCCACCTTTTGTAAGCCCAGTCAGCTAGAACCTGGTATGACAGCAGATTTTTAATGCCTTTATTTCATCCTTGGCAGCAAAATGTCACATAAAAAGGCGTGAAATGGTCGCAGATCACTATGTCATGGGGAATTCATGATATTTCCCAGATTTCCAGAGTTTCAAGACTCTAATCGGAAGTTTAATTTTTACTAATCTATATTTTAAATTCTTCAATTTCCTACATAGGTATGGAAATCGTTGTTCACACATTCTTGAAAACAGCTGTAATTTCGCATTAACCTAACCTATAGTTGGTGGTAGAATTCATCATAAAAGGAAATTCCAACGATGGTTGCTGATCATTTAATCCAAAATCATAAAAAAAATAGAAAAATATTAATCGATTTTATCTTTTGCTGTAGTATTTGCCAATCAATGACATCAATTCATCATATTAAAAAATTCAAAGTAACAAAAAGCAAAAAATATCAAATATATATATATATTTAAAAAAACGACTAGATTAAAGTACTTAATTCATTCAGATATATATATATATGTTTCATAATGAAATATTGAAAATAAACTAATTAACAATCATTGATCGGCTAGTGAAATAAGATTCAAACCTTAAGTTTAAACAATCTTTATCAAATAAAATCACTTTAAAAATAAAAGAAAACGAATAATGAACGTCAGATTTATTTTACTATGTGATACTTTATCTTAATTCTAAAATTATTTAAACAATACAACTCTAGCGGAACGTTATCATTTGTTATTGCAGCATTACAGTATTTTAACACAAGCATTATAATATTTAAATACAATAGCAATATGGTATTTAACATAACGGCATAATGGCATTACGGCGTTACTTACTGTAACCGTATTAATTCTACTACCAACTTTAATTAGAATTATTTATCTCAGGCGATTTTTGTTAATGAATGAATATTTCATTTCTGCTGATTTTATATAATAACTGAATGCCTTATTTACATCCTCAAATTCTGTACTCATAGCAATAACCAAGCATGAAAATTCCATAATTTTCTTTTACAAAATCTAATTCGCTAAAATTGGCAATAAATAGGGTAATTCAATTAACTTATTTCTAAATAAATGGGTGTTCTAAAAATTCCCATTTCTGTTTTGATATATTTTTTAGGTAGCAAATCGAAAATGTGTACGTACCAGCTCCGGATGATCATGTGATTGTCCGGAAATCAATCCAACCGATCATTAATGATAATTACAAATTAACCATGTGCTAACGCTAAATAAACCTTCAAAAATTTTCCGGATATTCATTCCGGACCATACTGTGATCATTCGGAGTGCTACCTGGTACACATTTTCGGGTTGAGTTAATACATAATCATTGCATCATAATCATGCGGTGGGATATTCCATGATTACATTTATTGTAATAGTTTGATAAATTATAACCATATTTCATTAATTAATAATGTATTATAACTAAATTGGGTGTAGAATGGGAGTACTGTAAATATACTGTATAAAAGTAATCAGTTACGTATTAATAAAGTGGGAGGATAGATACTGTAGTAGTTAAGTAGTTAAGTATAAGTATCGTCGTAGTAAAAAAATAAGAGATTGAATACACGAATCATTCTGATGATTATACTCTCTTTAATTTCCAATTATCATTAAACCCAAATCCCTTAATAAATACTCGTTCCGCATAACTTATGCAACGCCCAAAGCTAATCTGCACAAGCCTTAAAGCGGGTAGATTATCTACTGCATAAGATGTCAATATAAATCTTTCAATTTTCAATTTTTTTTTTTTTTGGTATTAAGGTGAGGCCTTGCTCGTATCTTTATTGTTTAATTTATACACGTCACTCTGGTTATATCGACATTTTTGAGACATTAGTAAAAAAATTCAAAATGTCGGTACAGTGAGTTATACCGACATTTTATATTAAATTTTTGAAAAAAATGTCAGTATAGAAAGATTTTACTATGATGTCGTTATATCCAGATGTCGGTATAACCAGAGTGACGTGTACTGTATATTAAAGTTTTATATATTTAAAACCAATTTTACATGCTTGCTCAAAAAAAAAAAAATCCAACATAAAATCAATAGTTTCTAATAGCTAGGTTGCAGGCCATTACTCCAAAAATCACCTAAAATACTCATTTCTTGGATCTAGCTTTTTATAGTAACACTATTGAAGACCAAGATACTTCTTCACTATTCGAGACTCCCAAGTAATTATATAGACCAATTGAACTCGAGTCAAAAAATATAGTCTTAATTCGAAATAAAAATAACTAAATAAAATAATTAACATTTTCTTTGCGAGTTACTGTGAAATTTATTATTGTTCCATCAATTGTGATTGATTTATTTTAACGTGAGACTTGTGAAATAATATACATAAAAGTATGCAGTCTGAAATCAACAAACATCATAGTATTATCCTTATATTTGTCGCGACTTTTGAATTGCCCTTAAACTTTGGTCTAACTAGAGGTGCGGTGACAATCGTTATGGCTTATAATGTAACTAATTACGACATAAGCTTTAACTAAGCCGTTAATCACCAGAATGACCTGCAGGCGATCAGCCACGTTATTATTTATGAACGAGTCTAACCTTTAATTAAGGGATACCCATCTGATTAATAAACCAAATAGGATACTGGCTATTATAAACTGCGGTAATGATGATGATGTCTGTCGAGAATTCATTTTAAAAAGGTGAAAATTTCGTGATGTCGTTTTTTCAAATTTTATTGGATCTTCCTCTCTCAAAGTTGTCTGTTCGACATTTGACTTTTGGCGACAAATCATATATGATTAGAAATAACGAAATATTCATAGCCAAAATAAATAAATAAATAAAATATGTACCATATTAAGTGATAATGTCGTGTTATTAATTTCTGAATTCGATAGATTATATTTTTGCCCCATAAGTTCAACATTCTGTACACTACCAAAAAAATCTGTTACCAAAACCTGTATTTGAATTGAAATGTAATTAGAAATAAATAAATTAAGTTTTTCAAAATATTGAAAAAAAAAGAAACCTTATCCAAGGGTCTGCGAAAAAGGTCACTGCGTACTCCAGGGGTTGAATGTATTAGTGATGGGTCATATGAATCGAAAAGATCTTGTAAAGTCGATTTACTTTGCATATCTATCTTTTCAAGAAACTCAAGGTTATAATATGTAAAACGATCGATCACAGCTACTCCAATATCGGTGTCCATATGATGCTATCATAGTGTTGAGAAATTTTCTTTCTTACCAAACTAAATCATTTTAAAAAATAAATAACAATTTCACCTGAAATAAAAGTAGCTTACTGAATAAGAGTTTTCACCGAGCTCACTACTTCCTGTAGCTAATATGTTTGGAGAATAAATTTGGCTATACATAGTATTGGCTTGACAGGTATCGATCATAAACAATATTTCATGATATCTACAAAAAGTTGGGTTAATATTTAAATAACAATTAGAATGAGTTCATGATCATACCTTCATTTTTTCCACATTACCTTCGCTTTTCCCACATTTGTTCAAAAGCATCAGCCAAATCGAAACTGCTGATCTCTTCCGCATCCTGAAATTTCAAGAATTCGTTACCACCGTGACCAGTCATGTATACCAAAATATTTGATCGATCATCAGATAGTAAACGTTTAGATCGAGGTGTATCAGGTGCAACACGGCCTATCAATGTAAGTAAATTTATAGATCAGGTTGGTTTAACGTAAGAAGGATAATTAATTTAATAACATGCCTGTCAAAACTCTAATAAAATTTTCGACAGTGACCTCGTAACCTCTATAGTCCACCTCGACGTTATCACCATAAAGGTCTAGATATCTTCCTGCATTGTTAAAAACTGTGGCAGGAAATACGTTTCGAGGATTGCAAGCAACATCGTCCGCAAGCATAAGGACAATGTTTGAATCTGGAATGCCGAGCCTCTTCACTGTACGATACATTGATAATGTATTCGCAATGTGACGATAGTTGAACCAAAAACGAGAGGTGCATACCTATGACAAAACCAAGTATTTTGGAAAGTTAGTTGAGTAAGGATATATGCGTTTACCTGGACACCGATTGTAATCAAGAACTCTTGCGTACTTTGATACGCTACCAGTACAGCCCAGTTATTGGTGTGTCCACCACGGCTAAAAAAGCCGTCAACGACTGCTTCATTATCAGTCTCTGCTAAGCTAAGTTGACATACGACAAGGCATATTATGATGAAAAAAGAAAGTCTAAACATTGTCGTTTTCAAACTAAAATCGGTTTAATTATAACGATAAGCCACAAGATTTCATAATTTTTTTGTTCGTGTAACGTAGATTCAATAAATTAAATAAATATATATATAAATATAATCTTCATTAAAGTCACGATACAAAGATATATAACTAATTTGACTTGAAATTTATTTAACATGAGTAGCTTGTTAGGACTTAACTATTATGACGATGACGAAGACGATCAGCAAACAGAAAATGACATTGTTAATGCAGAACAAAGTAACATCTTGGGTAGACACCTTTTTGCTTCTTGTTTCGAGACGTAGTCGCCTTTGAGCCGTTAAGCTAAGCTACTCTGCTTTCTCTAGGAAAAACGAGCACAGTCATTTACCAAGATGTTGATCGCGAAGAAACTGGAGCAAATATTAGTCCCAAAAATGTAGTATGGTTTCTTGAAGACTTAATTTATATAACGTTTCACTTATATAGAATAGATTTGGTTGACAAAGGGCTACAATTTGTTTCCTAACAGAGTACATCTATATCTCAAGCAATAGTACACAATATTCACAATGTCTCAGGTAATTAACAGCTCGAACCATCAAAATCATTATCCAAGTGAATAATTTTTCTGGTGTTTCATCTAATCACTTTTGGCCGAGTTGATTATGTTTAACTTTATCAAAATTTTTTAGAGAAATAATGCAATTAGTTTTTCGAATTTTTTAATCTGATTTGCGATTAATTTAGAACGTAAACAACCCAAAGAATCAACGGGTAAAAATTTACCGCAAACAATTTTAGTTTCTCAAAAAACAATACCAACCTCTCCATCAGTTTTCTCTAATCTGATTCGTCGAAGAGGCAACAACACAATATCACAAAAACCTCGTTATGAGGAATCTACATCTCCAAAAGTAGGAACATCACCAAAAATTGCTGGGCATACATTATCACCACAATCAGATACAGCTAAAAGCTCAGATAAACAGGAAAAACATATAAGTGATGATAAGCCAATAATATCGAATGAACAGTTATTATCGGATGATTCTGAAGATGCTAGACAGCATTCTGCTATGCGAAAACTATTGACACCAAAATCTATTGAAGGAAGAGAAAACTGGGGAATTCCTCCAGAACCTGAAGCAGAATGTGATCCAATACTGCAGGTATTTCATCAAATTCGTGTTTATATATTATTGATATTTGTATTAATGTAAATATTTACTCTTGGAAGGAAAAAATCGTTCATTTTCATTCATTAAGTAAAAAAGGAGTTCATTTCAACGAAAACCTCTTAAAAAATAAAGCTTTTCGTAATCCACATATATATAATAAATTAGTGGAATTTGTGGAATTGGATGAAATCGGTTCAAATTTTGATCGAGAAATATTTGACCCTTACGGATTTCCATCAGAGGCATTTGCGGATCAACTCGGTAAATTCATGAACGTGAACATTAAATTTTCTTCTATTAGAATCTTTGATAATAGATCAGAATATGATATTATTTTATCTTTATTTCAAAGCGGAAGCTCAAAAGAAAATTTTGGAGGAACGTGCCGCAGCGCAGCAACAACAACGGTCACAAATACAATTTGTAGGGCCTAATTCCGGTAGCCAAAATATATCTAAATCACGACACGTTATGCAAAGCCTTGCTGCTAGAGCAGAGAGAGGATCTACAACGGTTAATAATACAACAATTACGAAATCAACAATCGTTGCAAATAGTACCACTACTAGTTCAAAAACATCAAACAGTACAGGTTCCTCCGGTACGTTTATTGTATCTTTTCATTATGTATTAACTTATTTATTCATAACTGTAAATTTTGTGAATGCTTCGCCTTAAAATGGTTAGGAAAAAAACGTGCCAGTAAATGGGATGTTCCCGCGCCAAATGCACCAAATGCACCAAATGCACCAAATGTACCAAATGTACCAAATGTACCAAAGGTGCCAAATGCACCAAATGTAGCACCACCACCGTCATCATCGTCAACAACCTCATCAAGTTCACGTCATAGTAGTAATCGTACTAGTCGAGATGGAAAACGACCAAGGACTTAATATTGCTATTCTCAATGACTAAATTATGTATAAGATTATTCTTAAGTAGTTTATTCTTTTTTAGAAATGTTGATATTTTATAAAGAATTTTTCCCGCAATTATTTTGTTTGACATATAGACATTAGTTGGTGATTGTATGGCTATTTTAATTGGTTTTATTTTTAAATTGATTGCTCTTTATAATTCAGAAACAACTTATCATGTAAATTGTAATAAATTGATTATAAATTTTTACAATAACTGTGACTTTACTGTAAACTCTTTATATCATTGGATTATTGCACATGGGTCTTTGTTAAAGAATTGATTAGTGTTGATCTGAACATTGAGCACAAGCGTTGGACCACTTTTACTCGGTCTAGAGATTAGGTCCGGGTATGGATTACCGGATGACCCGTATGATAGAAACGGATAACAAAATTTCAGCACGGTTTACAAGTCACGTTATCAGCTAATTTCTATTAATCTGATTGGCTGAGTACATACGACTCAAAATTTCGAGAATTTCGAGAACCTTTGTAATAGGGGGTTTCAGAAGGATTTCCTTATGTCAAGAAAATGATCTACATCCGATGTAACACACAATTTTGATAATATTATATATATATATTGTT